GAAATAAAATGAAATTGTATCTTTGATTGCATTCCAATGGTTGAGAAAAAAAAACTGTGGCATGATTCCTGAGTATGAGTTGCGATTTGGGTTTTGAACAAAGCACCAGGCAGGGCTGGGTTAAGTCTGCGAGGAGTCAGAGGTTGGCAGCAGTGTCGAGAACACTCACAGCCAGAGAGCACGAGAAATTGGAAAGAAGAAGCAAAGAAGAAGTGCTTTAAAAGGAGGCACACCAGCGACCCCGACCTCAGCGACCCGACTGGTGCAGGTATTTCAAAATTTATTGTAACTGTCAACTGTGTCAGTGTGAGTCAGACGGTTCGGGCGCAGGCAGGAGTCATGTTTAGTCAGCGGAAGTAAGTTGTCGCGTGATCCTGTTGCGGACATTGTGTTTGTCTTTGTCATAACCTCACCTATCACGTGTAATGCATCAACTCATTCAATCTGTCATTGTCTTTCCAGAGGAGCACCAGACGGGCAGGTGGGGTTGCAGTGCAGCAGGACCGCCGCGGCGGCAGAGGACACATGGTGAGCCACATTCTGCAGTGTAGTGTCTTTGAGTTGTGTTCTTTATGCTTGGCTTTAAGGCTGTCATACCCTTGTTGAAGTTATTGTTGAAGTCATGCAGTTGTTGTGGCTCTCATCTCTCAACAAGTTGTGGTTTGCAATCAACCTTGTAACTAAAGAGTATGTATTGCTACTGTGTAACTATACTGCCCTCCCCATGTTTAAATTACTTCTATATTATTTTTTTAACTTCATGTCCTGCCGAAAGACTGAACTTTGTTTTGGTCCCATAGACTAAATGACCCAACGGTCATAGTCATATGGCAACAGTGTAAAGTTTTCTGCTAGATAGGCCATACGCCTAGAGAACGCTAAGTGAAAGTGAACGTCATTTTACTTATTGTTCTTTAGAATTTTTAAGATTTAAATTAAAGTCAAATGCCTTAGTTTGAGCTCTAAATGGTAGGGGATATGGTGTTGCCACATTGCCTGCTGCGGCTGGGTCAGGTCGTCAAATAATTAGTTAAAGTCATGCCGCCTCTATCATGCTTTTGGAGTCAATCAGTTCATTATATCTTTTGCTTTTATAGTTATGTTTGAACATTCCTTCTACATAGTTTTCTTTCATTATTGCGTGGGTCGTTGAATGTTTCTCTAGTTGCTGTCATGCAACTTTGTTACAGTACATGCAGTGTTGATAGTGCTGTTTCGTACCTGTCAAATAGTTTTCCATCCTTTCATCTTGCTACATTGTGTACCGAAACTTTATTCTGTACGTCATGAAAGAACATTTTCTGGGAATTGTGATTGACGCTCCAGAGTGAAGAAGCGATACATCAAAAGGGCCTTGTTTGACGCATGCTTTAATTAATATGTTTGTTTCTGTGTGTGCAGGCTGACCACTGGCGCTCCGCTCGTCCTCAGTCCAGGTGAAGGGCTTCGGTAGAGCAGTCATTTCTCTGGATGTGGAACCTTGTGGCTGTTCTTACTGTCTGTGGTGAGCTGGCTGTGGGGCGTTGCCTGCTGTTACGTGGCTTGTCTGTCCCTTCAGGACGCCCCCCGGACAATGCTCGCGTACCTGCCTGGCTGTCACTACAGCTTCCGTCTGAAGCGCCTTCAGCGTGGCATGGGGCCCGGGCCTCACGCCTAGGACGAGCTGTGAGTGGCGAGGCGGGCCCTCAGGGCGGCGGGCGATCCCCATCGGGCAAATACCACCGCGGTTCAAGTTTTTGAAAAGAACTCCTCGAGGCGACGTGTCCGGCGCGATGCAGCGCTGCCGAGCCCGGGCCTTGCGTGCCCTTTGCGCTTACTATCGTGTTACTTGACCATGTTCGGCTCGACGCTCAAAGTCTCTAAGTTGCAGGCGCGGGCCAAGAGGAGGCAGAAGCATTAGCGACGACCCCCCCCCCCCCTCCCCTATAAGGGCGGACGGCACCCAGGCAGACCAGCCCGAGCATCGGCGAGCACGCAGGTAGGTGTTTGAGGCTCTTCCCTGTTTACCATCCGACATCAGAATGCATTCATTTGGCCGTACGTTAATGATTTGTTTGTTTCCATTTGCAGGAGGTTTGCCGCTGGCGCCAGGAGGCGTGGAAGAGGGGCAGTCGACGCAGAGGTGCAGTCCACGCGACGTTAGCTGGAAGTGGGTGCTCTCCGTCCGCCAGTACACGACGCTCTGTAGGCCCAGTTCATTCAGTTGTAACCCCTCGCCGGCGACGCCGTGCAACCAGCCCGAGCAGCGGGACAAAACTCTGCGTCGGCGGGTCTCAGCAGAGCAGGGGGCGGTAGCGGCCCGACACGGTAGGTGTTTTCGTGTTCATCACCCGACGTGAAAACGCATTCTTTCGTTTGACGCGTGCATTAATTTTCTGTTTGTTTGTTTGCTCAGGTTCCGCCGCTGGCGTCCGGTCGAGGCCCGGGTAAAGTGGAGCTTATTGTCAACGAGTATTTCTATGGATGTCTAACTTCGCGGCTAGTCCTTACCTGCTGTCGATGAGCTGGCTGTCGGGCCGCCCATGCTGCGACGTGGCGCTCGTCCTTTCCCTTCAGGATCACAGGGCCGGCCCTGTGAGACGAGTGCTTCGTACCCGTCCTGCTCTACCGGCGGCTCGCGTCTCGCGCCTTCAGCGCAGCGTGCGGGCCGGCCCGCGCGCAGGGGCGCGGCTGTACGTGGAGCGGGGGCGGGGCAGCTGGGCGCCTCACGGGCATATACCATCGGTAGCAGAGTTGTTAAAAAGGGTAGCTCGACGTAGATGTCCGGCTGAAATAGGAGTTCGCCAAAAGTCCTCTCCTTGTATGTTACTTGATTTGTCTTTTCGTGTCGTTGCTAAAGTCTTTCTAGTTTCGGTCAGGCACGCTGCAGCAGGATGCAGTACCCAGCCCATGGACCGCGCCCTGCCCGTCGCCCTGCCCGTCGCCCTGCCCGTCGCCCTGCCCGTCGCCCTGCCCGTCGTCCTGCCCGTCGTCCTGCCCGTCACCGCCGGAGTC